GCCAGCGAGCCATTGGTGATGCCAATAAATTGGCGCCGACAATATACCTTCCGATGGCGGCGATGGAACCCAAGCTCCACATTTGCATGTCGAATGCGTTGAGTTTCTTCGGGCGATGCAACCGCAGGTTTACAATCGATGGGTCACTGTCGGCAAGGCCATCTGCAAGGGAAGGAGTGACTGTCAATGTGTCGTAGCGGGTCTCGTGCAGAGGTGTCACCCCCTGCGGTCTGATCCAGTCCTGAATGTACGCTTTGTCACTCATGTGGCGCTGTTGCATACATGGCCGCGCACACCGTCGAATGGCGCGGGACATCATCGCGCTGGCCTGGTGTGAGGGTGGAAGATCGTGCAATGCCGCTGCTTCATCAACAGATTTCAATTATCCGGATCCGGATGTACTTCAACGTCGTGTTGTCAAGAATGCTTCGGGTGCTGAAGGACCTTGACGATGGCAGCGTGCGGCGAGGGAGCTACCGCCATCTCCAGTCAGCGTGGCTGCGCACGTGAGTTCAAACCGATGAATGATCTTGGTATGCATCATCATCTCACGAACTGCCCGAAGGGTGCGAAGGACGTAGATGCGATGCAACAGCAGTATTGACGGGGTCGCCTTCCCACAGTACCTGATCGCAAAGGTGGCACTCGTACAACGCGGTGCACTCGAACGATCGAGACACTTGCTCCACCGTACAGGTTTCAATGATTGATACTCCGCCTGCGACGCAGACCCGCTCCAAGCGACACTTGACGAACTTCCATCGTGACCTCTGCTTGCGCTGCCTTATCGTTCCCAATACGAGCGCGACGATATATCGGAATGAAGGATAATCCATTCCGACATTACCAGGCCGTCGTTTCCTCCGTGCCGTGGTTGCATCGGCGGTCGGGAAATCTTGGGGATGCTTCGACAATCGTCAAGCCCAGGAGTACACCCCTGTTGTGGTTGACGCAGAAGCGATTACTTCGACGACCAGCGATTTGAGCGAGGGAAATCTCTACACCTTGTCGAGTAATGTCACTAGCAGCCGTGCCGAGTTCTTGTATGCCACTTTCCCGCCCTTGCACTGGAATTGCTGCTGCATGACTTCTTGTCAATGCTATTCAGTTGGAAGAATCGCGTTGAGAGGTGATCGTCCGATAGCTTTTCAAACGCGACATCCTGGTCGGATTCGAAAACAAAGCAGCATCTATACGTATAGGAGAGCGTGGCGTGTGGCACGTCAGCGTGATAGACAAGTGACTGCGCTTGGCATGACAACGCCACAACTGTCCGGCAGACATCGTCATGATCCGATTGGGGAAATGCCGACGAAATCACATGCCAGCGCAAGCAACTGTAGCGACTCATTTGCGAATGGTGTGGGTCCGACTTGAACCCACCGAGGTTTGGAACGTTAACCAGCGATCAAAAGCTCGACCAATTCGATCCCGTTGGTGTCCACCTGGAATAGCGTTGCCCGGTATCGATGGAGGGCGGCAAATCGCCTACACATCGAATCCCAAAACACACAGGACGACGATTTGTATAAGTTGGTGTGCATGAGGCGGAGGTTGACCAGCCCATTCGGAAGACATGGCACTCCCATCGAACCTTCCTCCAAGGTGGTCAAATCGGACAGTCTACGTCGACATCGGCACATCAAATGCGACGGCAACAGCCGAAACATGTGCACGACACCACCGTCGAGGAGCTTGAGAGAGTCTCCTGCATGGAGTACTACTCGGGGTACAGAGTCCTTGACGCTGCCACACTGCGTTCGCCTGATGGCGATGCATGTCTACCATAATGAACGAGATTGTCTAGAGCTGTACCCAATTTGCTTGCCCTGAAACAACCCTTTCATCACGTCATCCTGGGCAGGGATGTCTGGTGCATGTCGACGTTTTGTATTGCGACACCTGGCAAGCGTTTGGTGTGTATTCTGGCATTTTAGGTGCGCCAACGACGGGCGGCAGTCGTGGTAATTCAATGCTCCGTCAAGCTGCTACATGGAGGGGTCGCCAGAATGAACGCCACTTGCGGTTCACCCGTCGGAAGGTGCCTCTGGAGTATAGATGACCATGTTGACAACAACAAAAAATACGAATTTTTGAAGTCAAATAAATATATAGGGTTTTGTATGAGGAGAATTTATCGAATTTGCAAGAACCTTTGAAAACGGATGTCCATTGTTACCCGATCTTACGTGATGCTTCGAGAGGTGGCATGGTGTGTTGCTGTAGCGATGGCGGCGTGGGCGGATGCTTTGCATGCCGAAGACGTGCGCGCCGCGTGGCTGACCATGAACTTTCCTGCTTTCCACGGCACCGATGCATCAAGTATTCGCGTGGTCGGTGGGATAGCCGAGGTGGACGATGTCGACATACCTCTCAAGGCATTCTTTCACCTTCACTCCGTGCACGAAGCCCGCGTCCGCGACGCGCATGTGCATGTCCCTCTTCTCATAGATGGCTCTTTGCAGCACCTCGTGCTTCCATTGTATGCCCAAACATCGCAGTTGGATCAATTCGTACGTTGCTGTGTCTAGTCAAGCAAGATCCGATCGCGGTCAGTAGGTGAATGCATTTTGCCTCGAACACTCTCTCATTCCGCTGTACTGCACCACACTACGCCAGCACGCAGCGGCGTATACGAATCATTCGACCAACCGCACGTCCGTCCAAGTGTGTGTGGCGACGTCGGTCGCGTCATCTCCCCCGTACTGCGTCCCGCTTCCGACGGACACTCTGCGGGCCATGGATAGCCTGTCGCACATCCAAACGACTGACGTTACGATCCCGCTGCAGCGCTTCCAGCTGCCGCCAATGGGGACTTTTGTCGTTCGAGCATGGCTCGACGCAGTGGGAGCGTCCCCATCCGCACCAAATCGGCTGTCCCGACCCGTTGCCAAGACACTTCGGAGAGCAGCGTACGCTTGTACGTATACCTCGTGGTAGTGCACACCAGCATCCACGTCGTCAAGGAAGCATGCGCTGTAGGCACCAGTGCCGCGATGCCGAAGATGCAAATCCTGTACCCGCGCAACGGCCAAGTTGTCGCTGCCAGCCTGACGCACGTTTCGGTGTCCCTGCCACGGCTGCTCCTCGACGACCGTGCCTTTTTCACGGTGTGCATATCGACAAACCAAGCAAAGCGAACGTGCGACGAATTTGATGGCTGTACGTGCGCCTGCTTCCGTCGACGGCATGGAGACTCGTTTTTCAAGACGAGCGCTCTTCCTCGATTATAGTCTCATGTACCATAGCCCGGGCGATAGTGTATCTGCCGTGGACGAATACCCTCCCTTCCGGCCGGCATACCCTCCACGTTTCAGTCACCACGAGCGCGTCGAAGCGACCTCAGCAGGATCCGCCAACCTGTTCCAGCGGTACAAATCTGGAACAAACCCACCACAGCTTGATCACGCCGCCGTCGTGTGCATGCCTGTAGGCGTTGAGCACTCGGTCGACTTTGAACTCGACGCGTCCTTGCCGCGCCTGCCGCTGCCGTCGTCGTTGACCCCCACTCTCGTTCCAGTACGACATCGACGTTATCTTTGCATGCTATCAACGATGCCAAAGGATTTGGTACTGGTCACGGCGGTGTCGCAGTCGTACGTGGACGAAGGTCGTCTGGCCAACCTCGTCGGGTCTCTGCGTGTATGGGAGCCGTCGTTGACGCTTTACGTGGTTGGGCTGGATTTACATCCGGCGACAGAAGCGATGGTCCAAATGTGGCCACAGGTTCGCGTAGCTGTCCTTCCGACACTGGCACGGCCGGGATCTGTCTCACGATTTGGAATTGGCAGGTGCACTACATGCCTTTCGATGCGCTCGCCAACGGCCTTCCACGGCATGTGTTTGAGTTCCGGCGCACGTATGCGTTCAAGCCGATCGTGATTGCCCATTTCGTGGGCGCTCTCTCCACTCGTGTACGAATTCGCCATCCGTTTGTGTGACCTCGAGCCATTCGTCCTCACGCATGGATGGTGTAGGTGCTGTGGGTGGATGCAAACGTGGAGCTGCGCCGTCCGCTGGATCGCATTCGTAGGTGCGTTGCAAAGGCAGTCGCGGGAATGTCGTCCACGTCATTTCTAGAGCGATGGCGGTCGACGGGCACTTTTTCACGGTCCAAGGAGCGACGTTTCCCTTGGCTGCCAACAATCACCCTATCACGTTGGCGCACTTTTCATGCCCCCAACACGGGAACGCATTATTTCAATGCTGGTGGTCTGGCCTGCAAGGGTTCGACGGTCCTCTTGCACAACTCGATGGGTTCACAACGTCGTGACGTGGTGTAGGTACACCCGAGGCGGTGTCGCAGCCATCCATTTGTTGGCGCCCATGGTCGCGTGTGCGATGAACGAGACGTGTTTTGCCCCGCCATCCAGTCGATACCCCGACCAGACCGTGCTGAATGCCGCCGTCTGCGGGTTCTCGCATGGTATTTGACTCCCCGTTCCGTCATGGAATCGCCGTGACACTCGAAAGCAGACCTTGCCTCGACCATCTCAGTCCATCCAGGGTTAGAATTCTGGCTGTCGTCGTCGCTGGATGACAGCAACCAACCCCTTCAACCGACGCCGGATGAAGTCGACTGGAACGACGTCGTTTTCTTCACACGGCGAGAAGTCCCTGCCAAACCATACGCAGGCTACGTCTAGGCTCGATTTTTCCCGCGCGATCGCATGGTCTCACGCGTTGTCCCTTTGGCGCAACGAGTCATTTTCCCCGTAGAGGACAGTGCCAGGCGCGCGAGCCATGGCGAACTCTTTCAACGGCGCTCTAAACAAGTTGGCTTCGTGCATATTTGCGTGTTGCGCTTCGTGTCGAGCGAGCCGGAACCAAGTCCGGGGTACATGACGTTGCCATGCAGCCCATGTTAGAACGTGAAAAAAATCTAAATACATCATGCAACGGGGTCAGCGCACCGTGCGTGCTTTTCACCAGCCCTTCCACATCTCGATGAGGCGAACGATCTCGGCGGCCGTCGGTCGGTCGCGCGGCGACGTCGACAAGCACTGCATCGCCAAATCCTTGACGAGTTTCGGGCACGAGTCGTTGAAGGTCGGGCGGAGGCCCTGCGTCGTCACACGCTGGACAATTGTCATGGCCGGCACGCCCTTCAGGTTGGCGTACGGAATGTTGTGTGTATCTACACAAAGCACTCATGACCGCGACGGCACCACGGTCAGCGCTTACCGAGCTCGTTTAGCACACACCCAAACGAGTACACGTCGGCCAGTTCCGAGTACCGATGGCCGCTGAGCACTTCTGGCGCGGTCCAGTACGATGTCCCGACGCCCGCCGTCATGGTGTCGTCGGTGGTGCGTTCCTTTGAAATGCCAAAGTCGGACAGCTTGGCTTCCAGTTGGTCCGACACAAGCACGTTCTTGGCTTTCAGATCACGATGAATGATCTTGTTCGGGACGAGCGCATGGAGGTATGCGAGCGCGCGGGCAATGCCGACGGCCAGCACGAGCTTCTCGTTCCAGTTGGTCTTGGGGTGGGCCACAAGATACGACCCTAGATCGCCGTGCTGCATGTACTCGACGACACAGCACATGTTTTGCAGCGTATTCCATGCAAAACCGATAAAGGTCACGATGTTTGGGTGGCTCAGCGACGCCATCAGTCGAATCTCCTCGGCAAAACACTCGAGCTCGGTTTCGTCGTTCCGCTTGGCGTCCAGAATTTTCTTGATCGCGACCGTCATGCCGTCGTAGGACCCGATCCAGACTTCGCCGAACGCGCCTTTGGATAGCATCCGCGTCTGTACGACCGACGAGTACGGCAGGCGCCGTGTGCACAGGTAGGCGTCGACTTGGAAGCTGTTGAGCTTGGACGAGTTGGTCTGAATCGGCTGGGCTGCGGCATGGTGCGATCGCGGTTGGCCCGAGCTGTTTTGTAAGCTGCTGTTGTACATTGCTGTGGTGGTGGTGGGTGTGCCGTCGTTGTCGTTGATGGCGTCAGCGCGAGCCTTGCGACGACGCAGGATAAAGCACAGCAGCCCACACGCGACAAAAGCAACGGCACCAGCGACTATGCCAACGACAGCACCCGTTGACAAGGACGGAGCTTGGGTTGGAGATGGCACAGGAGTCGTTGTCGCAGGCGGGCTCGTGGTTTTGGCCCGCGCGATCGCATTCAGCCAGTTGTTCATGGCGGTCGATGGCGACGGCAGACACATGCCTTTGCTTTCTTCGTAGACCCTGCACGGAAACGTGAGGGAGCCTACATGTGACAGCGATGAATCACGAAGCAACTTGATGGAATCTACCTGGTTTGTTTTCAGGACACGACCCCCACGGCCACTCGTCGTCGTACTTTTCGGGCAGGGTGTGGACGGAGAAGAAGAGGAACGGCGGACCGTCTGTGCTATTCCATTGATGCCGATGGATCTTTGGAAACGGCACGTCCGTCGATGGCACGCCGTCCTGCGCCCACATGCTCGAATGACTGTTCGTGGACGGATTCGCCTTCGACACGGCACAATTGGCGGCCACATCTAAGTTGACACCGTTCGAGACTTGTTGGCGGACGAAGGAATACCCAAACCCGGAGCATTCAATGATACTGGCCGACTGGTCTGTCGCTAAAAACTTCTCCTTGGGCACCATAAGGTTCTCCATGGTGGCGCCCGTGGTGCTGTTTTCATTCGTGCAACGGGTGTATACTTGCTGCAACGTGAAAGATCCGTCATTCACGCGGACAAGTCCCATGTCCCACAGCAGTGCGCGTTGGGCTAACGGCGACAGTTCGTCGAATGTGAGCTTGGTGGCGGACAATCTTGCCACGACGGTTGATGGGACTGCATGCGAGATCTTGGGGACAGAAGTCAAGTTGTCATCTGCAAGTTTGCGGAAGCGAGACACATAATTCGAGCTTTCCAGCCACAACGACGGGGCCAGCGGCGATGTCATGGAGAGAGCAGCGAGCGCTGGTCCTGTCCGGTCGAAGTATGAGGGATCCGGCTGAACATCCAACTTGCGCACCCACTCAAAATCGCGGTTGTAACAGTGATTCGAACGTTTTAAACACCTGTATGGCCATTGCAACATCCTACTGTTATTATAATACACAAATTCTTGTGTTATAATATATTGCATATGTAAAATACGACACTCTGTTGCGCTGTCATTCAATCGTTCGTAAGTACTGCACTACACGTTGACCACACTGCGTGGAGTGTATTCGACCAATAAAAAGGGATGTACAATATATTATATTGAGACTGGATTTTTGTATTCTCCACACTGTATAGAAAATGGGCATTTTTGAAATGCTGACGTTTCTGAACGCAATTCACGTTTCGACGTAGCTTATATTATAACTTTACATTGTTACAATAGCTTGATACCATCCATCAAAGGGATCGTTTTCAAACGTTTGCAACGATCCAGGTGACTCAAATCCACTGATTGATGCGCAAGTAGAGACGCGCGATCTTGCGGGACGCCTTAACGTGGCATGTGACGCGTTTGGCACAGTCAAGCTTGGGCAGCGCTGTGGCGCTTGCCTTTGCTCCCTCACATACGTACAAACCGCTGCCTGTCGGTGGCAGTGCAGACTACTCGGCTTTGTCGCCTCCCGACGGCGTTCCACGACGGATGAAAGACGAGAGTGGATCAAAACGCGTGTCGCCCGTTTCCATTCGTTCACAACTCCGCGCACGCACGCTGCATCGCTTTTAAGCCTTTGCGGTCCCTTCCGTCCCATCTCCCGACGACTGTTCGAGGGGGGGGACAAGGGACATGCATCTGTGAGATAGGTTCAGCACGAATGTAGTTTGATTGGATATTAATACTTCAATTGTTCTCATTGAAGCCAATCATTGGGATCTAAATCCTTGAAGCTCGACGAAACCTGGGGCGGTTGCTCAACAGTCCGTTCGAAAACGATGGCGTCGACAACGCCCAGTGCGCGCCAACGCCGCCGTGGGGTCAAGGACGCTGAAGAAACAGTATCGGAGCCAGAGTACAACGAGCTTCGACGGCGCTATGATGCAAAGGTCGCGGCACCTGATGCTGACGACGGGTCTGAGTCCGAATCGGACACGGCACCGTCCGACAAACCCTTACGAGAACCGCGATGGAACTTGTCGTCGAAAGAGAAGAAAGTGACGCTTCTCGTTGACGAAGACAAGGCGAAGAAGTGGTCGAGCTTCAAGACGCGCACGCTGTACACACTGCTCATGGTGGTTGGGTTCCTCGTCATAGTGTTCGGGTTCAAGCAAGTCGGGTGCTGCTTGCTGGTGTTTTCCCTCCAAGCAACCATGTACGCGGAGCTCGTGAGTCTTATGTTCAAGCAGCAAGTGGAGAACGAGATGCCCAAGTTTCGCCGCCTGTACTACTACTGGTTCTTTGTGTGCGTGTTTTTCGTGTACGGCCGCGCGCTGATGCCGCACTTTGAAATGCACGAATTCGACACGCTCTTTGGGCTGTACATCCTCGAAAAAGGGTTTGTGAACAAGCACCACACGGCCATCTCATTCGCGCTGTACGTGGGTGGGTTTGTCTCGTTTGTGTTTTCTTTGCGAAAGCGCAAGCACTACAAGTACCAGTTCTCCCAATTTGCGTACTGCCATGTCGCGCTCTTGATCATCGTGGCCCAGTCGACGTTCATGATCTCCAACATGTTTGCCGGACTCTTTTGGTTCCTCCTTCCGTGCTCGCTCATCATCGTCAACGACGTGTTTGCTTACATTTGCGGGTTCTTCTTTGGACGGACGCCGCTGATTCCGAAATTGTCGCCGAAGAAGACGTGGGAAGGGTTCTTTGGTGCGCTCTTGATCACGATTTTGTGGTCCTTTGTTTTTTCCCGATTCATGTTGCAGTTTGAAATGATGATGTGCCCCCAAGTTGGCTTCCACTTGGACTTCAAAGGGTGCACCCCCGGTGACATCTACGTGCCGCAAGTGTACGCCCATTTCCCCTTCACTGTGGCGCCGATTCAGTTCCACATGGTGTGCTTTGCCGTCTTTGCATCGCTCGTCGCGCCATTTGGAGGGTTCTTTGCGTCCGGTTTCAAGCGAGCATTCAAGATCAAAGGTAATGTGGGCAAACCTGTTGGGTTTGTCTTGGAAGGCTGAAGTAGTTGTGTGATAGACTTTGGATCAAGTATTCCAGGACACGGTGGCGTGGTCGATCGCATGGATTGCCAAGTGATCATGGGCATGTTCACGTATGTGTATTACACGAACTTTATCCAACGGCCAGACCGAATTTCAAGTGCATTGCGCATGCTCGAACGCTTGACCGCTGATGAGCAACTCGTGGTGTTTCAAAAGCTCCAAAGTGCACTCACCAACGCGGGAATTCTGACTGGATAGAAGTCTAAGTGGATTATAGAAGATGTGCCAATAAATGGTCATGTGCGACGCACCACACAATACTGGGGTGTTGCACATAACAGCTACATCAAACGCTCGACTTGACTTTGAAACACCTTGACGTAACTTGAATCGGTGCAAATCTGCCCAGCGTGAATTTGAAGGCGAGTTGACATTGTGTCCAAACTTTCAAATGCGTCGCGAAAGGATTTGTCAACTTCGAGCTTTCCCTTTTCGTACGTGTCCATAATCTTGACCCGCAGATCTTTGAGCCTCTCCAATTCACTTGTGATACTCTCGATTGATGCCCTAAAGTTGCACTCAAATGATTCTTGCACTTGCCTAGAATAGTGTGTTGAATAGTTAGGATTGTCGATATCAAACGTACATTAACTCTTTCTTTTGCTGTTCAAGTCGAGTAGACGTTTGTGTGATGGATTTGTTGACGGTCTCCGCTTCATCGATGCAACTCTTTTTAGACGTCGCGAAGATCCGTTCGACGTCGCTTTGAAAGGCCTCACAGTACACTCGGACACAGTCCCGCTGACTTTGCTGTTTCTGGCGCACTTTCTGCCGCGGTTCCAAGGGTTAGTAAGCGAATACTGCGATAATACAACGTACTTTTTCCGACATTCGCAGGAACACTTCCTTCATCGCAGTCATTTCTTCCGCCAGGCTGTCTCCTTCCACAACTTTCAACCCAGGATCGTTGTCCAGGTCCTCTTCGCACTCTCGCATCATGTCCTGCGATACCCCCGTCACGTCTTCATCGTCTTCGGAGTACTGTGACGACCACATCTCGTCGTTATCTTGCGCGTTTTCGGGTGAATTGATGTCTGCTGATGGAAAGATACCTTGGCGCCTTTTTCAAATCTGAATAAGGTTTCATTATAGTATATAATTCACCATATATATTCCTTTTTGGTCGAATTAACCGTTCGAATGTGCTAGCACGTTTAATGCGTCAAACCTGTTTAAAACGGTGGGTAGTTTGCGTTTAAATATTAAAGCGCAACACAAATGGAATAAAACCATGTTCTAGTCGTGAAAAACGAGATTAACCCTTGACAATGATAGTTTCAGAACGTGGACTTTTTGCACATCGTCCTCAAGCAGCGGGAGTCGCGATGGCGACATCGGGTGCCGCCAAGGCCAGCTTGGAAGACTGTTTGCCGCTGCAAACTGTGCCAAGCTTGAAGCTCATGAAGCTTCGCACGTTCGCCATCACATACGTCACGTATGCGATCTTTCACGTCGCCCGAAAGTCGTTTGGGTCGATCAAGGGCGAGCTGAGCAAGGAGAAATGGATGGCATCGTCGCTTACGAGCCAATCGAATATGTATGGCCTCATGGACATGGTATTTCTGGGGCTCTATGCCATCGGGTTGTACGCCAGTGGCATGCTCGGCGACCGACTCGACCTTCGCAAATTCTTGGCGGGAGGCATGGTCGGAGTCGCGCTCGTGCTGATGACATTCGGCGTCGCGGGTTTGGCAAACTATCACGTCTTTTGGTTTTATTTGATGCTGTGGGGTGTCAACGGTGCCGTCCAGTCCGTGGGGTGGCCGTCCAACGTGGCAATCATGTACGGAATCTCTAACGAGCTTGAAGTTAAAACCATGCCTAGGTCGCGGTGGTTCGGCGACGGTGAGCGCGGCGTTGTGTTGGGCCTATGGAGCAGCTGTGCATCATTCGGCAACATTTGTGGCGGAGCTTTAGTCGGCATCTTGTGTCACGTGGCGGAAGCGTCCGTCGCTTGGAAGTTGGTCATGGTCGCGTCGGGAGTGATCATGCTCGTGCAGTCCCTTATAGTATTTCTATTTCTCGTACCAGCGCCTCCCAAGCATCTCCATGACGACACTGAGGCCACAACGCTGTCAATACCTGCCTCGGACAACAAGGAGGTCCCTGTGGAAGGGGGACCCGTTGGCATTTCGTTCTCAAGAGCTTGGATGATCCCTGGTGTTGCGTCGTATGCGATAGCGTATGCGTGTGTCAAGTCTGTGTCATACTCGCTCTTCTTTTGGGTGCCGTACTATTTGACGGCTGAGCGACACATGAACAACTCGAAAGCCAACTTGTTCTCGGTGGGTTCGACGACGACGTTTGCAAGTGACCGCGATCCTGACGTAAACTAGGTGCTGTACGATGTCGGTGCGATCATCGGGTCGGTCGCCGGGGGCTACCTCACCGATCGGATGGGTGGCAAGCGGTCGTTGTATATTGTGCTCTCGCTCTGCCTCGCCGGGTACCCCCATCGTCGACCGAACGTGACCACCTCAACGATGTCTGCTGCTTCTTTGTAGCATCGACATGGCATTTCTATTTGGCGCATCCGAGCACATGACGGGAGTTCTGCTCTTCTTGACAGGGGTGCTCATGGGTGGTCCGGAAATGCTCATCACGACGACGATCTCGGCGGATCTCGGCACACACCAGACGCTGGCGAAGAACGCTCAAGCGCTGGCCACCGTCACAGGAATCATCGACGGAACCGGCAGCATTGGCGCTGCGGTCGCACAGTACTTGGTTGGTCGCATCGCCAACTGCCACTCGACGTGCGACCCGATCCCCGCGACCGCACATGCGGTGTGTCCCACAACGTGTGCATGGGACTCGGTCTTCTTGATGCTCCAGATATGCACGGTCGTGGGGGTGTTGAGTCTTAGCAGCCTCGTATTCCACGAAATGCAGAGTTGGCGGCGGCGGAGGGACCACCCCACTCCCGACAACCCCGTGTACGAAAAACGACATGTTGTGCAAGTCGGCAATTCACAGGGTGCATGTAGGATCAAGTTGCAGCATTGTCCATTGCTCCAGACCGATGAGAGTACCGACAATGACGCCATCGCGCGCCCCGACGTAAGTACTGAAGTGCATGAGCGGGACCTGATCGAGATGTGGCGGCCTAGACACCTGGATCGACAACCAGCACTGCCACGTCGCCTGTATCACTCGACGACAGTTCGTTGGATGCACTCAAACATCGAGTTTAGACCGAGTACACTTGTTGGTACAACTATATGCGCTTGACTTCGACTAGCGTGCGCTGGGCGACTTGATGCGGTTCGGGGGACTCGTGGTGGCCTTTGGGCAGGATTGTGATTTCGGCGTACGTGCCACCAGCTTGACCTTTGGACAGTTGGCCTGGGTTTACACAAAGAGTGTCTTGCACGGCCTAATGTGTCGACGTGAGTGAAAAATGCAACACCTATTGCAGTCGACGTACGCCACAGAATCGGTTGAGAACCGACGGAAGGAGGAGCACGTCCGGTCGCACGGGCAATTGATACTGGTCGATGTACTTGAGATCCAACGGAGTGTCGCCCGTAGACGGAAACAGCGGAAAGAAACTGTACGAGATGACGCGTTATGCGACTGAACGAACTGAGAGCGTGTACCCACCTGTTCTGGCGCAAGAGCTGTTCTGTGAGTCGAAAAAGGCGCTGTTGCTGGGCCGCTTGCTGGGATCGGTGGAATTCGGCACCGCCCAGTTCGAGCAAAATGTCGCTCGTCGTGGCGCCGAATACCGTGCCGTTGATTGTGAACGTCGTGGGGTTCGACAGCAAGTGCACGCGCTGCGTACCGATGAACCAACAACCAAGGACGTGCTTCCACACTGTACCTTTTGAAAGTCGGGCGAGTCGAGGCCTTCGAAGACTTTTTTGCGGTCGAATGGAGGCTGCGGGTACACGTACGGGTGCTGGACATCGCGGACGGACGGAATGAGGACCAAGTGGCAGTTGGGCAGTTCGGCTAAGAGCGTGTTGAACTTCGTAATGACTAAAAACAGCACCCGTGCCATGAAAATCCCAGCGATCCCGTCCTCCAAACTCAGCCAACTCTCGACGTACTCTGGAACAGAAAAATGTCGTCGAAACTAACGAGAACGTTATCGTACGATACAATCCCATCCTTAGCGTGGTTGGCGTCGATAAATGGCCCCATCTACGCGGTCGCAATTGAGGCGATGCACAATTCGACAGGAGGAGCCATACCAAAATAACAACATCGGGTCGTTGCTTGGCCGCGACCTTGATCAAGTCGCTAAGCGGCTGGTACTGCGGGTCGTTGTTGGCCGTGAAAGGTCCTGCCGCGGTGAAGACTCGAATCGGGGCACTGTCGTTCGCAATCGATTCAACCATCGCGAGAGGCTCCGGCTACGAACACCAACCGCTTGCATCACATGATTGGGAGAAGAACCTGCACACGTACCTCGATGAATCGCTTGACTTGCATGGGGTTGCGTGTGTCGTTGTAAATACCTTCGACGGCCACCAGCTACTAGTCGACGTGAGAAACAATAGCATTTGCAGAGAGACATGCCTTGCCAGGGAATGCTTCGAGGGCGGGCACTTGGCTCAAATCGAGCAGCACGCGTTGACCGCCGCAGTGCTTGCGAGCACCTTCCAATTGGATGACACTCGCGTTCAGCTTGCCCTCGGGTGCTTCGCACACAATGCGGCCACACACTGTCACTTGGGAGGGAGACGGATCACCGACCGCACCAAACTCGATGCCTAGCTGAGCTTCCATGCGCGTTTGAAAGTCCACGAGCAACGTGTCTAGTGCAATTGCTCGGTCCGACATGGAGGTGTACATGAAGTTGGCCGAAGGACCTGTGGGAATCGTTGAGTTTGACCACATTGCTCGAACGAACTTACTCATCTGCTTGTCGCCATGAAGGCGTTCTACTTCGACTGAATCACTGCGGTATTCCGCCGGTTCGATCTGAGACTTGAGCGATGTGTTGAAAGAGTCGACCACTTCGCCGGCGTTGGTGCGGGACGCATACTCGGCGGTCGGTGGGGACTGGAACGACCTGCTCACTGTTGATGAACTATAAAATGGTTCATAGAACGACGTACGATGGAGAAAAGACCGAGGTCCTCAATATCTTGGCGTCGGGGCTTTGGAAGCTCGCAGATGCTTGGCGCTTTTTTGGAGTGTCGTGGACTGTCGGGAGTTGAATTCCGTACACGGAAGCGATCGGCTCCTTCTTCACCATGGGTTTACTCTTGAGTGTTTCCTTGGTTTCTCGCTTGATGGATCTTTTGTTTGCCTGGTCAAACAGCATCGCGCGAAACTTGCCGAGGGAATCGACAGTGGCAACTTTTATTGACGCATTCATGGCAAAAACATCCCATTGCTCGGCCAGCGATTCCGCCGACAGAGCGAACTCTTTGCATAGATCTATGCATGTGGCCACAGCATCTTCTTTGATGTCCAAGCTGTTGTTGTTGAACGCGGCGTTGATGTCCGCGGCAGTCGTTGTCGACATGGGGAGGGTCTTCTGCAGTGGATCCAAATGCCCGCCAAAACTTGGCCAATGGCTGTGTGAACCCATTATATTGCATATGATATTTGTTTATAGAGGAAATACGTTTTGAGCAATTGTCGTGCAAATTTATCACTATTTTCCTAATAAGACAAAACTTCACCGGTCGTATGAGAAAAACTTTTTTTCACACTTTACTGACGATTGAAGTGACCTGCGCAGCACATTCCAAATTGTCCTGCCGTGTCAAAATGGCGGACCCGGCGCTCCAAGTCTTTGAGTGCGTGCGCAATTTGTGGGCGACGCGTTGTCTGTCGACGGTGGCATCGTTGAAGATCCCAGACTTCCTTCGAGATGGCCCTCGGTCGTCCAAGGAGATTGCTGAGCACTTTCACCTTCACGAGGACAGCGTGTTCCGCCTCTTGCGTGCGGTGTCGACGATGGGGTTCCTTGAGCATACCGGTGGCAATATGTTTGCATTGACCACGACTGGAGAGTGTTTGATCTCTGACGTTCCTGGATCTATGCGCGCATACTTGGTGACCATGTGTGCACATGGCCACTGGTTGCCTTGGGGCAATATCGAATCCACCATTGTATCTGGCGTGCCGGCTACCGAAATGGTAGGAATGCCATGTCCTCGTAGTGTTTCTGCATCTTGATGTGCATATCGGCTATTGACCGTAGGAACTCGGTGCGGATTTGGGCAGCTATTACTCGAAACACCCAGAAGAAGGTCATGAGTTCAACGAAGCAATGCAAAACGTAAACCACATGTCAGCTGATGTGTGCTTGGACGCGTACCAGTTCGAAGACATCGCCACGGATGATATGTGCATTGTCGACGTCGGTGGTGCCCATGGCGATTTCTTGCTAGACGTGCTTCACAGGTTGAACCGTCCAAGCATTCGTGGTATTCTCTTTGAGCGCCCTGAAGTCGTCGAGGCTGCAGCTGAACATGTCAGCCATGAAATCGATTGCATTTCTGGCGATTTTTTCCACTCTGTTCCACCTGGGGACTTGTATCTTTTGAAGCATGTTTTGCACGAATGGACCGATTCGCATTGTGTCAAGATTCTCCGCAATATTCGCGCCGCAATGGATTCGGCATCGGGCCGTGTCCTTGTCGTAGAAGTACTTGTGGAAGGCACGGAAGCCCTCGTTGACATGAACATGCTTGTCATGTTCAATGGTCGCGAGAGAACCGAAGAAGAGTTTGCCGCGCTCTTCCTTCAAGCGGACCTCAAGCTCACCAAGGTCATCCGCACCGGGACCCCATTTGCTGTCTTGGAAGCAATGGCAGCTTAGCTCCCAAACGCGAAATTAGTATGAAAGAATGTATCGTGTTTCCCGCGCAAAAACATTCTCGAGTTGGGATGGCTCATTGTCGAATTTGACCCTTGGCGACTAGATCAAGATGAAGCGATGCAGCATCGACGATGTGCCGGCACGACACTGGCAAACCCACACGGTTCCACCATCGCGCTCTTGTGCAACATGGTGCTCTTACTCCGCCACCGTTTGGCCGATTACGGTCGACACCCGCAGTCGATTGTCGACAGACGAAGTGACTACGTTTCATCCTCTTGCCATTCACTACATAAATACGGTTCATCCTCTTGCGATTCACTACATAAATCACGTGTCTACCCTGACGAATCCAAGTACGACGGAAGAGCGTCGCTTTTGGCCAAAATGAAGTTCTTGTACTCTCGAGCAATGAAGAGCTTGGGTATTTGATCACGTATTTCCAATGCACGCTCGTCGTTGCGAAGGGACTCAACGTCGCTTCGACGTACTGTTTGTTTCCCCCATTCTTGCGGAGGCATGTACCACGCCCCATACTTGGACTTTTTTGGTTTTTCGGGCAATTGTATGCGTGAGGTCTTTGGTGCAGTGGATGGCGAGGCCCGTTGATTCGACGGTGCCATCAGTTGACTTGGAATGTCTGTTGCAAGATGTACTCTGTCTGAGGTGCGCCAAATGATGTGCGGCGTCGTGGGTCTGTCACATCCATCGCTATTGTCAGCCTTGAGGCATGTCGCGTCTTCGTGCGCCTTTTCCAGCGAAGCTTGAACTGCTGCCTTGGCGCTTGCTTGTGCGGCTGCCATGTCGTCAGGATTGTGTATTGACGAGCGTTGCCTCTGCATCGTGCCTCTCTTCGCCATGGTTTTTGCAGAAGCGATTGCTCCCATGGAGAATGGACCTGCTTCCTTTAAACTGCCAAGTGGTGGGCCGAATGGAGTGGTGAAGCCGTGCGCTCGTTGGTGATCCACAATGGCCTGTCGAAGCTCAAGGTCTTTCGCTTCTCGTAGTGTATTGAGCTCTGTCATGAGCGAATCCAACATGTCGTTTTTGGCCGCTTCGCCTGTGAGCATGGCCAGGACCCGTGGGCCTCCAATGCCGTTTTGACTGTCGTCCCCGAATGAGTGGTCTGCTTGCAAACGATCGATGAAGCCAGCTTCAAAACTCGACGGCGGCGACGATGCCGTCGGAGTGCGCAAAAAGCGCCACTCCACGTCGCAGAACTTGAGGCTGGCTGCGTCGTTCCGCTTCTTTCGCACGGCGCGGGCCTTCATGAAGTGGTTTCCGACATCTCGCCAGTGTAACTGTTGCAAGTTATTTTCAAGCGTGGGGCCGACTTGACCACCGACCGAGTATGCTCGGCAGATGGGGCGACTTCGACAGCGATGTTCTTCTAAATGCCAACTTGTCTCAAGAAGATCATGCATATCTCGACGCAGGCGGCGGCAGCTCCGAGTCCATGCAGCAGCTCGCACGTCGACACACTGCTGACAATTCGAAGCAAAACTTGTCGTCCACGATGGATCGCCCAGTGAGGACTGCCGCGACGTCAACAGCCCTTGCACCGCCGCCCTTGTCGCGTCAAACATATCGCCATGTCAATGCAAAGTGCGCGATGTTTTCGTGGATGCTCGAGAGCGATTCGCTGCGACACACGGTCTTCGACGCGCTGGCACCAGTGTGGGTCGCCGCCAAGATTGCCGCCGGACACACCACCATCATCTCTCCACACGTGCTTGATCTCGTTGCCCAACGGCTGGCCAAGCGATTTCCTGGAACGGCCCTGCCGTCTCACGGCGTGCTCAAGGACCGACAGATGCATGCTGATTCGTTCTGCACGATTCTGGCACATATGATCACGCCTGTGGTCACCAACACAACCATTCCAGAATGTCTCTTTGCTGTGCGAAGTATTGTTGAGGCAATCGTGTGCCACGACGTCCGCGGCGACGCATCCGTTCAATTTCGTCCGATCGAAGCCATAGAGCCCATCCAAGCAGTATCTAGGACGCTGCCACCTCTATCAAGATCCTCGAACGTGTCTGCGATCTACATGGAGCCTGCAGTGAACCAATCGTTGACTCTGGATATTCCAGCGGCACTACAATTGCCTTCGTCTTTGGGCTCTTCACGGCTCGTTCCAGGAAGCAGTGGCGCCGCCCCCGACATGGCAGCTGAAGCACGAGTACTTGTTAAATCCAAACGTCGTCGAGCACTCATTCATTACGCTTGTAGCTGGTGCAAGAAGATCAACTCAAGCAAAAGCTACGATTGCGCAAATACTGGAGCTCGCAGGCTTGCGAGACAGCTGCTCACATTCTCCCCGAGGAAATTCCATTGTTTCAGCGAGAAGACATGCGATCAAGAGCCAAATCTCGCGAGCAATCGCGTTATCACGATGAAGCGACTCCCATGCAAGTTGATACCCGACCCCCCACCAGAACAAGTTGCGACTCGACCTCAGACATTGCGACCTCTCGCCCACCAACACGCCTCCACAGCGCGCGCCTCCAAGACCCATTTCCTGTCCCAAACAATGATATCACTCAGCAAGAAGGCACGAACGAGAGCTCGATGGCACTGGTGTGCACGCAGTGCGATATCAATGAAGCGACGCTGTGGTGCTCGCAATGCTATACGATAACTTGTGTTCGATGCTGGTCTGCTAGTCACAGCACCCCCGTTCCAACGATCCACGTATCGCTTCAACAAACCGACCCGCTCCGAAGCTGCGTTCTCACGCAATCGTTGACCAGCTTGCATCAAGGACCACCGCTTCCTTTGCTACGGACGCCTCCAACACATACGACCCACGCGAATGCATTGCGTCGACGTCAAAAAGGAAGCAGATTGCACTTGACTCAGCCACAAGAAGACTCTCACACCAGGGAAGCAACATTCCACGTTGCCAACAGCTTACCGCTTCGTGTGATGTCGATGCCGTCGCTGCCAGGGCCTTTGCCTGATGCTGCTCGCACCACTGCAACTGAAATCATTTCAACCAAGGATCCGGCAAACACACCGGCAGATATCAACCCCACCATGACCAAACCCTCCAATCTTGTCACAAAGCGAAGGCAGGTCCTGCGCCATGCGTCCGTCGATATAAACGCAATGTTTCTTGAAAAAGTCACCAACAGCGACCTTACGATTCCGTAGTCAAGATGCCTACAACGATCACGACGACGATCCGTGGATTCGAAACACGACGTAGTACATGGGCGAAGGACCAGTGACCGGCACGATGGCATGCAGCACCTGCTGACTTTGAAGCATCACTAGACGATCAGAGACAGACGGCACAGTGGCTTCATGGTTGGCTCTCGTGTGCACTTGAATGGCCCCGCTTCCATCGCGTCCTTCCTCCGGTCCATTGACGCAGTAGATGCAAGTGATCCTGTACCCATTGTCGTGCTGGACGTCCGTACCGCAATCCAGTCGCATCGACTGGCCTTCGCCCGTGCGGAACGCCAGTAACGTCGTGGAATATGTGGACTCAGCGCACAGACTCAGTTGGTTGGGCAAGTGCCGTCGTTTGTGGTTGATTTCGTGCGGCAATGCGTGCAATTTTTCAACGAGCTCCGCGAGAGCGGGAAAATTGTCGGCCAATTCGGTTGGCATGCTGGACACGTCGAGGAAACGAACGAGGCACATGTCTCCTTGCACAAGCTGTCCTTGCTTGTGCATGCGCAGGACGTCTGACCGCACCAGTGGCACAAAGTCCGCGCCAAGGAAGTCGTCTTGAACGCCGTAGAACTGCGCATCGGGGGAGTTTGCATCCAACAACGACGCCAGCGTCGCATCGTGTAACTGGTCCCACGACGCACATTCGGCGTCCGGGTCCGCGATGCGCGAAGTGTCTCGTGCCAACATTGCATGCTTTTTTGTCGCGACTCGCTGCAGCATTGCAAGGACTTCCCTTCCAAATGCTTCGCGCAGAACCTACAGCAGCCTCGCGCGTCACGAAGCACGAGATATGAACCCACACAACTCAAGTGAATACGGTTGAAAGCTTCTTGGTGAAATGGCAAACCTACTTGCGGGCGAAGAATGGCTTCCGTTGTGGCATCCATGACGTCACCGACTATCGCGCCCTTGCGCTTGACATTGTCGAGGACAGAGTTGGCTTTGGCTTGAATTTTCGGCATGAGGACGACCATCTCCTGCTCATACCATGGATCTTCGAGTAGTTGCTTGAGTGTTCGAGGCATGTGGTTTGTGCGGATGTCGTCAGCGGTCATGCCAGGGTACATTACCCGGCAAAACTCCTTTTCGTTGGAGAGTTTGGCAAATACGCCATGGAGGCAGTCTTGGTTGGTGGTCTCCAGCCCTGACATGAGGCGCCGCCAGAGCAATTGCGATGCTTTCGACTCGGACGTGTCAGGAATCACGGAGGCTTTGTCTGCGTACACGGCACCAAGCGGCGCTTGCAACGTCGGTTGGTGTTGTGCTCTGCGCATTGCTTGGAGAATGCACTGTTTCCTGCTCAGACCTTTGTCCCATGTCGGTTCCAGTTCCAACGCAATGTTGATCTCATTCAATGCGTCACGATATCGCTTGAGCTGAAACAGGCACGTGGCCCGATTGCCGTGCAAGAAGTGCCGTTGATCGCACGGTGCGACGACGACCGCGGCTGCGTACTTGTCCAGGGCATTCGGATAGTCCTTCTTCTGAAAGCATGCATTGCCTTCCGCTTTGAGCTCTTCCCACGTCACGCCAGGCTGCCTTTGGTTTTGGATGTCAAACGACCCGTCTGGCGAGATGTCCACGACGTCCGGTGCGGCGGCGCTTCCTCCTCGATCTAACATTTTCGAAATCCCGACGAATTTTCCACTTGTTCTAGACCAGTTCCCTCCACAACAAATACTTCCATGGACGTATTACATTAAAGAGGTCGAAACAAGTCGACGTCGACGTCGAGGTTCAACTTGGCGGCGAATGCACGGAGTGACGCGATCAAGGCGGCGGACGGCTCGACGAGTCGCCTGGCTGCTTGGACGACGGCAATAGCTGCGTCTAATGGAAGGAAGTGTGTCGCCATGACGTACGCGATGCACACGGCGCCGCTCAACGAAGTTCCAGAGTCGCAGTGCACAATCATGCACGGACGGTCTGCTTTCTTCTCATGGAGGCGTGCGACGATCGCAGTAAAGTCAATCGTCCCCTCATCTTCGACCATGAGATCCAATGTGTCATCGCTTTCGAGCAGTGGACCAGGCTCCCGCTTCGTGCAGCAGACCAAAGTCCGTCGAAACTTGGGCGGCGACGACTCGTCCAACGCCAATAACCTCTGGAGGCTCAGCGTTGACGTCAGCCAGAGCCCAGGGGCCACTTGTTGCTTGTCCGTGTTGACCGCAATGTCATACCGTTCCCGTGTGATGTAACTCCGAACGCTCGGTAGCAAGGAGAGCTTTTCGTCGACCATGACAATGGTCAAGTCCCGTTCAGCGGCGGCGATGACTCCTTCTGCAGCCGCATGGACAACCAAGTGGTAAAGGTTCTCCAAGTGCAGCTCAAACGCCTGACTTCGGAGGTCGAATGGAGCTCCATGCGGAAAAGTGCCTTCACTTCTACGACCAATGCCCTTGCCGCGTTTCTGCATGTACGCGGCATGAAGCGCGACAAAGTACCGGAGGTGCCGCGTTTGTGCCGCCGTGTCCGATTCCATGTCCCTTTGGAACGAATATGACGACTGTTCATTGGTGCAATGATTTCAACGAATCAAATTTCACCAATTCAGTTTCCTGCATCATGATTGGTGGATTAAATTCGGGCATTCGTTTCCTGAACTTGGAGCATACCCGACAACAACGATGCTCCAAGACCAGTTCCAGAACGAGTTGGTAGCGCTGGAAGCATCTCAGAAAGCGGCGCGCCATGCTGCACTGTTAAAGATGGAATCTGCCTTCGAAGCGATGGACAAATCATTGGCGCAGCCCGTGGACGGCGCCATGGATCACGTCATCACCACACAACAGGCAATTCAAGATGCGTGCATTCAGCTCGGCAAAGTCCAAGTGCAACGGCATCAAAAAGTCGTGCGATGGAGAGCTGAACTCCGGCGATTCCAGACGCAGGTGGAAGACCTGCATCTGTTTGAGCAGTGGTGTGAGCGCACGGAAGCCAACCTGCACCTCGTGTGCGGCAAGCTCGAGTACGTGTGCCACGAACTGAACCGCATCGATGCAACGCCGCGCTAACCTCGACCTTTCGTCCGCATGGATGCATCGAAGCGCCTTCAAGCCAACTGACTGCCTTGATGACGAACAACTCGATTATTTACATCCGAATGTTGCGCGCTATCTCTCGAATTACGTTTTGCTCGGTCCAATTGCAAGTAACCTGGAGCACTTCTGTCGTCGGGTCGTAGTGGACCTCCTGCCCCCACCGCGCCGGTATAAGTACATCGCACGCCCAGACGCCACTACGTACCATGGGTGCAGACACTGTAAGGTTCAGTCCTGGTCGTTCCTCGTACGTCAGCTGCTTCCCAAACACCTACGACAGCGCCTCAGTTCCCCGCGTGTACCGAGTGTTCGGAACGACCTCTGCGATTCTGCTCTCTGGTAGCGTCATTTGCAACTGGCTCAGGACAGGAAATCCGAGCGGATCCGTCGCTGCGTGGATGCCAAACAACTGATTCACACTCACGCGTCGAATCAACTCAAGCTGGACTTTTACATGGGACGGTGTAGTCGACGCTGTCCCTGCAGCGCCAAACGCATTCGTCCGCAGACTTGACTGCGCTCTCTGCTGAGAAATTGCCTTAAGCTCTCCGGTGACCTTGTCCACAATTGCACGAAGCAGTTGCATCTTGCACTTGTCTACAAGATGCATGAGTGAACGCGTGACTGTGGGCTTTTCCCAGACGCACCTGCGAGCTTGAGTTCGATGCTCGCGTGAGCCTTCCGAACGTCCTTTCGCTTCCTTTCAAGGGCTTCAAACTGGTCCACCTGACGCTGCAATGCTTCCAACTGAGTCTTCAATTCCTTTGTCACGTCCGTGTCAAAAACCGCACGGCTGTCAAGCCGCGCCTGCGCTTTGACTGTTGCCAGGGAATTTTGGAGCTGCGCCTTTTCTTGCACGAGCGCAGCAATGCGCTGCTCAAACTCGGCCTTGAGCTTTACTTTGTCTTCATCTCCTGCGATCACCATGTGCTGCACGCGCTTCCGCAGCATGGCGTTCTTCTCGGCAAGTTTGACCTTGTCGGTGATTGCAACTTGGAGGTCTTTCGTCATGGCGTCTAGTTGCTTCTTGAGGGTCGCAGTGTCGACGAAGGATGTGGTTGCCCCAGGTAGAGACGAATTCGAGAATGAAGCCCCTACATTCGACGTTTTGGCCTTCTTGGCCGACGGTGCCAAGGAAGCATCTGTGGAAGGACCTCTTTGGGCAAGAGCTGACGTTAAAGGCTTGGACATGCTAATTGGAGCAGTCGTTGGCACTGCCACGGACGGCCTGAACAGCGAGATGTGTAGTGGCTTGCCCGTGACCACGGCCTGAAGGATCTGAATGATCGCTGGCATTGCCATGTTGCTCACGTCCGTGTCGTCCAGTTTGAGCAGCACATCACCAACACGTAAACCCGCCTTAGCGGCACTTGAATCGGGCTGCAACGTCGACACTTGAACCCCACAAACACCACGGACGGGTAGTACGCCAAATCCCAGCAGTCCGCTTTCCTTGGTCACGACGATTCGCTTGTATGGAGACGCCGACGAACCTGAATGCTGCGTGCTGCCTGCACCGGTTGATGCTGCTTCGAGTTGCATCGATTGAGTGCAGGCAGGTGTCGTGACTGAACTCGAATCAACCACAGGCGTCCGAGAGACAGGGATCGTCGATGCGGCAGTTGGGCCAGTGGGTGAAGTCTCCCCAACGGACACTACTTTGTCTGTGTTCTCTACGCGCGACAACGTCGTCTGGCCTTCCACCGCCGATAATGGTGCGTCGGTGGCCGCATGAAATGCGGAATTGGGTTCATCTTCGAACGCCTGATGGTCACCTTCTGTGCTCATGATGGCGCTACCTTCGACAGGTGCTGCGTCTTTGGTAATTCCATTCATGTACTCAATAGAATTCAAGGCATCGACGAGCATTGCGTCGTCCAGCATGGCATCGTCGTGGAACGGCGCGTTCATGACGACCTTATGGGACAGAGGAAAGCGAGTTTGGCGAGGCATTCCCGCCAGATTATCCGGGATTTCTCCGCGATTATCCGGATATCTCGAGTTGAAAAGGCGCACGACGATGCGAGCAAGGTGGCAGGAATGACGGAAGAAGCATCACGCCGACAGAAAACTGGCGACCCCTTGCCGGCAATGAAGCCCAATACGTCACGAACGATGAACGCCAGTCAACGAGGTGCATCATCAAGTCAACCTCGTAGCCACCATGTCGAGAAAGTCTTGAGAAATCACCCTGGGTTGCCCCAACGACTTCAAGCGGCCAAACCGACAGGGGCGTACAAGTGGATCGAACAACTGCCACGGAAATTGTGTGTGTCACGGAAAAGTCCCGCGCACGTGCTCCTGCGATGTAGGCAGCTCCTTGACCAAAGTCGCAACCTTGCACTGGAGTTTGACGTGAACGAACTCGATGCGATCAAGCATCGGTTGAGGGTGCGAATGGAGACGATGTGGGAAGAGTTGAAGATTCCCCATGTCGATCGCGACTCGTTTCTTGTATTGCACGGGGGGTGTATTCCAAGCTTAGTGCACCAAGTCCAGTTGCTCACGGTGCATTTTCAGTGCACGCTGCGTGTTTTACACTGCATTCAGTATCGTGAAGAATTGCTCGAGCAAGCCCGCGAACAACATGCGGCAATGGACAAAGCAGTGTGGATGCAATCTATGATTCAGGTGTCCGTGGCAACAGTCGAAGCGATTGAAATGTGGCGCGATACGCTCTGGTTTCCGCATGCCTTTCGCACAAAACATGGTCCAAAGTACCTGCTCAAGATGGTTGCAGACTGCTCGACAATGGAATTTGAGCGCGCTTGTTGTCCAATACTGGCGCCATTGGATCCCCCCGACGCGATCAAGGCGGCGGACGGCTCGACGAGTCGCCTGGCTGCTTGGACGACGGCAATAGCTGCGTCTAATGGAAGGAAGTGT